ACTTCTCCATGAGGGACATTTTGGTCCAGTTTAGAAGTTCTTCAAAGTGGTATTTCCATTGTCCAGTCAGGTTCAGCAGTACACAGCCCTAGCGAAGTCCTGCTTTCCCTTTTTAAATCATCTGCGAGTTTGAGAGAACTTCTCTGGCGCCAAATAAGAGCCCTACTCCAAACTCCTCCTACACTTGCGTTTTGCTTTGGTGGCCACCGATGCTGCAGACCTTCTGATCTTATCTGTCTGCTGCTTTGGGAAACCTTTGGGCCATCCATGCCACAAAGAGTTCTTTTCTCAGCTTGGCAGTACCCTTCACCCCTGGTGTACATTAGACTCTCAGGTGGCCTGATCAACCACATATCATTAATTGAGTGTGAAATGATGATTTGCGAGTTTCTGCAAAGGTTTTATGCCAGACTATTTCTTAGTATGGAGCTTTGCTTGCCTAGAGTCTCTGCTATTTGTCTGGCAGCATAATGACCACTTGATACTGTTTCCTTCCGTTTTCAGTCTTAATACTAAGCTTAAGAGCTGCTATCTGTAGCCTCATATCGAACAAAGATATGACAGTGTTATCACTCTTCTGTCTCGTGGCAAGAAAGCGAGTACGCACATTTCTCAAAATTGTAAACTTAAAAATAAAGTAACAATATTGATTGTTGTGGTATGATTTTTTTCTTTGTGAGCAGACTAGGCTTCACTGAGTTTAGTTAAATTAAGAAGAAACAGAAGGTTTTATTGGGTTATTTGGATGTCTTTAAATGAAAGATGTGTGAGGGCAAATGGTGAAGGTTGTTATGATCTTTTGTGCACTGCGTTACAGTCAACTTCCTCAATTATAAGCACCCTTTTAACTGTCAGTAACTGAATCCCCAGCCTACTGCACAACAAGGTGTCCTCATGGAGACTGTACACTGTTAGATATCAATCTGTGATGCTGAGTGCATTCAAGGAGTTATTTCATGTTGAAGTGATGCAATTTGTGCTTGTGGCTTACTCAGTTTTACTCCAGCTGGTTGTCTTCCTAGCAGAGATCCAGCAGATTTACCCAAGAGAAGCTGAATGAACTTAAGGTGTTCATAGGTTAGAATGTAGGTCTAATGTGTAGGCGGAGTAAGTGGAGTAAAAGAAGCAAGGCACGTTTCTCCAATCAAGAAAAATGTTGTGTAAGAGCAGTGCATGGCTGGGTTAAAGCAGAATGTCTGTTTTCATTAAATCTGCCTCACAGAACACATTTCGACATTCTTTGAAAATTTCATTTCCTGTTTAATGCTTAGTTGAAGGTTCAGAACTTAAATTGTCTGTGTTCAACTGCAGCTCATTTGTTCTTTCAGCTTTTTTCTTTTCATTAATTAGTCTGAAATCGAATCCAATGGAGTGCTACGAAGGTCTTTAAACTGCTAGATTTGGCCTGAGCTGTGTTGGCCGCATATTCAGGTACATCCAGGGTCCAAGTGATTTGTTCACTACTTTACCTTTACCTATACCTTTTAGAACCCTCATGGAGAAACATCTTTTCTTTCCTGCTTCTCCCTCAGACTGAACAGCATTTCAGTCATACAACACTGATGTTTTTAGGGTTTCAGGGGTGCCTCTGAAAAGGTTGTTTAAAGAAACATTGGAAGACTCATCTCATTTTCCTCCCTGCGGTTGCACAGTCGTGTGTCAACTACGGAGGAGAGAGAGTGAGTGCATATCTCCCGTGCCTCCATTATGCATTTCCATATCTTCTCCTCCACCAAATGAGTCCTTTGTCTGCTCGGAGACCAGCGCTAATGAGAGAGTTGCATTGCAGCATTTTAGAAGCCATTGCTCCCCTATTAATCAGGGGAGATTTGTGTTCAGCTGTCTGTTTTTTCTCCCACTCAGCCACCGCCTTCTCTCAGTTCTCTCTCTACTTTCTGATTGATGATAACGAGGTTGTTGGCTAAAACCAGCTCTTATCGGCTAAACAAAATGGCTCCCAGCTTTTTCGGTCTCTGTGTGTGTGTGTGTGTGTGTGTGTGTGTGTGGGTGTGGGTGCGGGTGCGTGCGTGCGTGCGTGCGTGCGTGTGTGTGTGTGCGCGCACGCATGTGTGTGCTTGTGTGCATCTGTGACGCACGCTTACTTGTATTTGTTGTTCCTTTGCTCTGTCTTCTGGCACTGACTGTGAGTCTGGGCATCTGCTCATGCCAGCATCCGTGTCTGTGTTGCCATGTGAATGCATGTATGTATCGGTATATTTCTGCTTGTGTGTGTGTGTGTCTGTGTGTGTGTTTGTGTGTGTGTGTGTGTGCGTGCGCATCTCCACAATGAGAACGAGATGAAAGGCCACTGCTCCTGTGAGTCACAAGCCGCTGCCTGCTTCCTAAATGGCTCTGAATAGTTACTCAATACAGTTGAAGATGATCTGCTCTGTTTTCACACACACATCAATTCTGCAAATAAAGAACAAGAAGATGAAAGGCACTGAAGGACACAAACAGAGAGACATTTACATGTGCATGAATACAACAATATACGCAAGTCTAGGATAGAGAAAAGCCAGAGAGAAAAAAGAAATGCACACTTGATAACACACATAAACCTCTGAATAAAAGAAATGAAAAAAGACATGTAAATATGAATTTTAACAAGCTTTATAAGAAAAATACTGTTGCACAGACTTGTTAACATGATAATTGACTGAGATACATACGGTATATTCTACATTTACAGGCATATACAAAGAAAAAGAGAGAGCTACAGGAAGCCCTCCAGTTAAAGTGTCTTCCTTTAGCAAAGATAATAATTGGATAAAGATATCCTTTTTTGTCTCAAAAACATATTGATACAGTCAATGCTTCCGTAAGGGAAAACTTAAAATGTTCAAGTTGTCTATTTTAACTTTTGTGCTTCATTTGTGAATCGTTTTTTTCTGTGTGCAAGCACTGACACAGTACAACACATTGTTATGTCTGCTGTCTGTGTTTTCCCTGAATGTCCTCAAGACCAAAAGGTTTAAGAAAACTGCAAAGAAAACCTCTGAAGTTACTTTTTGTTTCCTCTTTTTTCCTTTTTGTCACTATGCTCTTCATTTTTTATGTTGTCTCCCAAGAAATATGCAGAATGTGTTGCTGTATTTGGCCCATTTGTGACTGTGTGTATCTTTATCTTATCCTTTTAATATTCACTATTGTGCAGTCTTATTGCTGCATATATTGTGGTTCACTTCCAGACACTTTTTTAAAAAAATGGTAAAGATATGATATATAATAAAACAAACAGACAAATTGTTATATCTTTTGCTGATTTGTGTACTGAGATTATCTTGAGTGTTTCCAGCAGCATTCAGTAAGAATGTGTCATTTCACTCAATGTAATGGTGCTATTCATTCTGGTTGTCTATCATAGGCATCCTATCACGTTTACCAAGGACAACACAGTAAACAGAGTGGCATGACAGAGTGCAGCAGGAAGATGAAAGAGAAGGCAAACTAGCTCGCTGTCAACTCTGTTGTGTTTTTATTCTATTGTTTGTATTGCTCACTCGTCACAGATCACCATTATTGTAGCGTGATTGTTTCAACCACAGATAACAGTGCTATTCACTGAGTCACACTGGCCACAGTAGCTGTTTGGATGGTCGACTACTGATCTAGTGGTCAGGTAGCAATGAACATTTCATTAGGTAATGTTACTTTGGTCTATTTGATTAAAATGCAATGTCATAACGTGAATGTACATGACTAAATGTAACATAAATAACACTTTTGTACATTACCTTGTCCGTTACCATGATTTTCTGCCACTCATGTTGACAGATTTTCATCAACAATAGTGAAGATGGCATCTCCCATGGTTCCACTCTCTTCAGTCTACATCAATCCATGACGTTTGTCACTGTCTTGATTGATAGACCCCTAGTGGCAAAGATGATACACTGTGCGCTTTAGAAAGGCCAAATTCCAGACTTGACTAATTTGAGCGCACCGTTGCAAACCAATTGGTTTATGGACCGCTACAAAACAGTCCATGAATCAGTTGGTGATGTCACAGTTATAATGCAAAGTCTGCCGTCTACCTTGAGGCTGATTTTATGTTTGTCTTATCAACACCAAATCTGTAGTTTAATTTTTGAAAAATAATAATAATCCAGCTGTGCACTGCAGTTCTGACCAAAAGTTGCCCCAAAAAAGTAAAAACTATTTTAAAAAGTATTTATAGCGGGGGACAGGATATGTGGTTTAGTAATAGACTTGTGTGACTTCTGGTTCCTTCAACTCCAAAAACACAAAACTTGAACCAACATGGTGTTTGGGCAGCATTAAAAGATGATATCTGTATTCTTCTTCTCCACTTAAGGTCATTCAGCTCCACTCAGTCTGTTGGTAACACAGTAAAGAAAGCATCAGTGTAACTTGTTTTTTTCTCTATCTTTGCTGCTTCTTCCCTTTTCATCTCTCTTGTCCTTCCCATTTCCCGTCTTCTCTTAGCCAAGCACCACTGAATCTCTCATCACCCTTTGTTTGTTATTCATTTTTGTTTTCATTTGCATTGTGTGCGACTGGAGGTAGCAATATCATACACTATTGTCAATTTATAAGAGGGTGAGCTGAATTTAGATTTTAGCCGATCTTGCCCTCTTTCTCTCTCTTTCATAAACAGAAATCATCAAATAAATTTAAATTAATTCAGTTCTTTTCCAGCTGTCTTCTTGGTAACTTAGTAATCAATAGCATCATCAGTGCAAGTACATAAAATATTGGAGGATGTAAAAAAATGTCCTACTACAAACAGCATGTAAAATAAGAGTGCTAGCAAACTAAATTAAGTGATAAGTGCAGACGGGATTGAAAAATAACAGAATAACCACTTGGATGTAAACACTTGTAATCCATCAGTATGGAATTCATAGATCTACTTTGGTTCTAGTGTACAGTTACAGATGAGGTAAACATACAAACCAATGTAATCCCAGCACTGATGCAACATGTAGCCCAATGGTGCTACTTATGCTAATCTCTTTATTCTCTCTCTTTCACAGGGTCCCATAGAGAATGACACTGTGATCCACGCAGCCCTGATAGCTGAGAGCCAGAGGTAATGTGTGTGTGTGCGTGTGTGTGTGTGTGTGTGTGTGTGTTAATGTGTTGCACGCCATGAAAAGGAGGTTATTTTCTGCCCATCTCTGCTTGTCAGCTCTCTCAGTGCTGTAATTGTGGTGAGCTCATAAAGCTGGCGCTCAGCCTGACCTTTGCCCTCATCTGTCACTCTTCTCATTGTGGGTTTGTGTGAGTACATGTGTGCATGTGTATGTATGCTCGAATACATGTTTGAGAGTGGGCTGCGTGTGTGTTAAACAGGGTCAGACGACTCTGGGAAGCTTGTTAACCTGTAGCTTCAATTACTGCGGCTTGCAAGTCCTAACCAAGACTTCTGCACCGTCTTTGTCACTGCGGTCGCCTTGTACCACCGATCAGCCGCAACATTGAAACCACCTCCATAATATTGTATGTTTCCGGTTCCCCCTCATGCCTCTGAAACAGCTCTGACCCATCGAAGCATGGAAGGAGCCCTGTGGTATCAGGCCCCAAAACATTGCTTGGTCTATAATGATGTTTAGGTAGGGGATATGTGTCAACATCACATCTACATCAATGTTACAACCCACAGTTTCCCAGCAGGGCACTGAGAAGAGCATCACCCTCCCTCAGTTAGCTCTCCTGTTTTGATTTGGTGACACCTGATGAAATCTCTTTCCCAGAATTTGGCCCTTGTGAAAGTCTCTTTGATCCTCATGCTGCCCATTTTCCTGCTTCCACCACATCAATCTCAAGAACTGACTTTTCACTAGCTGCCTAATATATTCCAGCTCTAGACAGGTGCCATTGTGACCAGATAATCTATGTTATTCATGTTGCCTGTCAGTGGTTTTATTGTTGTGGCTGAGTGGTGTACACTATATTCTCCTGTGTGCACTGTGTTTCAATAACAGCTTCCCAGTAGCTCTGCAATAGATAAAGATTTGCAGTAGAACTGAGTTACGAGTTTTATATTTACAAGAACACAAGACCAATAGATTTATTAACATTTTATTCACCCAGCCATGGCTTTATCACCTACAGACTCATAAAACTAAAGATTTAAAAAAAAGATAAATCTGCATAGAAAGATTTACAAGCCAGTCGAGTCTCCTGTAGATTTCTGAGAGGATTCTGCAGCTGTTGAAGTAATTTCAGCATTACAATATTTGTGTGTTTGACTGTGGTGCTTACATCAGTACCATATCAGTTTGCAGCATTTCATTACAAACAGTGTACTGGGGAGTCATTTATCAGCTTTACATTGGCAAAAGACGCATGTGAAATTCCTAAAATTCTAAAAATTTTGATCAGTCCAATGGAAAAACTAAGTGAAAAGTATTTATCATACCTTCAAATCTGTGAAATTTGAGTCAGAGGATCCAGATTAGGTGCCAATGAACCCTGCCTGTTTAAATCTCTGACATCTGGAGTCTTCTGTTCTCTTTGCTCTTGAGGTGTGTGGTGTCATCATGCAAAGATCTGAAGGCCTCCCTAAGGCCTTCATAAAACAGGACTTATAAAGGTCCATGAATTTTGAAATAAATCATTCCACTGTAAGAAAATTCATCTACAGCCAGTATAGATTTCAAGCAATTGCTATTTTGAATGCATTGCTGCATTCAGCTGAAGGAATTTTTCATGGAAGAGTGGCCAAATCTTTAAGCAAGCCATGTCAGAAACTGTAATTAACTGCAATTATTCAAAAATACCTATGAGTTGTACCAGGTTCTGAAGCCACTTTTTCGACATCCTACATCCATTGATGTTTTTTTGTTGAAAAAACCATTGAATAAGCGCATTTTCTTGCAGTTGTACTTGTCTGTAGACACAGTTTCATAGAGGATCAAATGTTTGCTTGTCCAAATTGTCAAAAAAGCCCAAAATAAATTTTGTGTGTTATTTCCTGTGTTTTTTGTGTCTGCATTTTACAAAAATGGCCTGACAGCAATTCATAAACATAAGATTACAATGAAATTCATCCACTCAAAGCTACCATCACTCGTGACTACACCAGTTAAAACAGTAAGAATATTGGAAATATGCCAGTAAACCTTTCTCAAACAAATGAGTTGCTCTAATGTCAAGCTGTGGTGCAGCTCAGTCCTGTAATAAGATGCATAGTACTGGAAATCAGTCTTCCCCACTTTAGAGCTCATCTGAACTTTCAAAGCTAGTCTGTCCTCTGATCTGTTGTCATGGTATTAGCAAATTTGGAAAGTAAAAATTCTTGGCAGCTTAGACAGCAAGGTGTATAAAAGAGTATACACATCTGCTGATGTTGTCTTAATGTCATGACTTTATATTTAGCTCACAGTGGTAAATATGAATCAAATAGTTCTGTGGTAGTTGTTGTCCAGTAGTTTACGATATGGGCAGCAGCATGAGCATACAAAATATCTCCTTTATGTAGCATAGGACTCATCATGGGTTATAAAATGTACAGCTATGTACTGTATCATGTAGATGTCCACTTTTCTCATGAGTAGGGTAGGGAACATCAGTCATTAATTTTGTTGTAGAGTGGGCCTAACACTGATCCTTGGGGGATATCTTTATCAACAATCGAAGGACTTGACTTGAAACCAGTAGTTTCAATACTGTGACAGAGATATGATTTGAACCAGTTGTAAGCAGAAATATTAGAATCTACAGAAAAAAATCCACACTGTGTCAAAAGCCTTTGAATAGAACTATAAAGCAGAATATTTCCTTTTTATCAAGTGAATTAACAGTGTCATCCACAACAGCAGCTGCAGTGAGGATTGCCCTTTAACTAGATTTAAGGTCTGGTGGCTGTGGCTAAAAGACATTATGAACCTCCATGGGGGCCATGCAGCTGAGAGCTGACTAGTGATTCTTAGACTTTGGACAGACCCCTCAGCTTGAATATAGGTTAATAGTTGTTTAATTTAACAGCTTTATGCAATGCAAATAATCACTTCTGCAGTCTTTCATATTGAGAGGATTTCTACCTGAAGTAAAGATGAGGTGTGGAGGCATGTGATCCATAGGTCAAAGCTGTGCTTGTCAAGGGACTTTTTATGTTTATCAGTACATTATGTACCTGAGTAAATGACAAGTCTGAGGAAAATGTGTGATTATGAGGAAAAGGATGGGTTGGGCAGTTACATTATGAAACATGTCACATCGTTATGTCAAATTATGCTAAAAGGCTTTAACCGTGTTGCTTTTATTAATCTGCACACCAATAATTGCAGGTGGGAGCAGTGTGAAGGACTTGTTCAATAATTTACAGGTTACAGTTCCATTGCTGTTGCATTTGAAAATACAGATAGATTATAATAATAATAATATTCAAATACTGCTTTGAGAAAGGGTAAAACTATAAGAAAAATAACATAGCACTGTCTGGATCTTGAGTGGAACATGTTATGTTGGTGTTATAGTGATATACATTATACGTACATAATTAATAAAATATTTTGCCTAAAAGTATATAAAAGTGATATCCAGAGCAAGAACACCAGAGACAAAGTCATGGTAGTTTCTTTTCTTTCCCTTTTTCCTTTTCTTTTTTTTCTTTCTTTTCTTTCTTTCTTTTTTTTTTTTTGTAATTTAGCGAGAATCTAATATTGTAATTTTGTGCTTCTCTGTGTCTGTAGATTGCAAGTATTTTTGAATACCTACGGCATTCAGACCCAGACACCCCAGCAAGTGGAACCCATCCAGATCTGGCCTCAGAAGGAACTGGTCAAGGTAATGTTGGTCAAACATGAGTTAGTCATCCACTTTACAAATTGTTTACAAACCTCAACTCACGGTTCACCCAACTTTCTCTTGTTATGTGTCACGTGTGCAGTTTTAAGTGGTTTAACTCAAAGTCATATATGAAACAATGGTGTCTTGATCCCAGACATAAGTCGACAGAAGCAGGTGCCTTATTTCTAGGTGGCCGTCATTGAGTTTGCATGGAAGAAATTCCAACCATTACAGGTAGATTTTAACAACTAACTAGCTAAGCAATGTTGCCTTTGTGACGTAGTTCATAACTCCATCTAGCTCTAGCTAACTTTTCAGTGCTTTCAGCTTTTGTTAAAATAAGGAGCTTTTAAATATACATTTGATGGCTGCATACCTGACAATACACTGATTCAGTGAGTTCAAGCTGCATTGGTGGATGTTACTAGCTTAGTGTTTACTAGTTGATAATCTATCTAGAAGCATCAACTGGATACAAAAGATGGATCGAATGACAGTGACGTTACCCATTCGTTTGTGAGCCACCATTTTGAGGCTGCGAGTTAGAATTTTGGCTGTTGCCATCCTGGACTTTTGAAACACAGACATAATGTGCAGGAGGTGGATCTGACTGAGAACTGAGGACACAAAGGTCCATATATTGGAGATCTATCAGTCACAAGGTAGCACCACCCAGAGGCTTGTCCTACTTTATTGCGTATTCTACTTCGAATGGGATTGTAAATATACTGGGCTATATAAATATACATGATACTGTATTGAAATATTCTTAAACTAGTGACTGAGACCATTAACGCATTGCCTTCTAGACCTGGAGGCTATGTCCATCTTTTACATAAAGTCTATGTGTGGAAGACGTGGAAATAAAGCAGGAACAATGTTCTTAAATTGCAAGGTAGAGCTAGTTTGTCATAATGAGATCGTACAAAATGGGGAAAAAAATAACACATTTTTCTCATATTATCATTGCTAGAAAAATTATGGTGATGAAGTATGATGGTGTTTTGTTCTTTCAAACACATCGCTCTTCAGTGTAAACAGTGCTGAGCCTTACATACCATAGACTCTGGGCTTTAGAGACTTTTTTCAAGTTGTATTTTTCACTTTAATGGAAAAAGTGGAAGACGAATAAACTTGTGGGATTTGCAGAGTAACCTCAGATAAACGTCCCCAAATCCAAGACAAAGTCCAACAAGGATGCTAAACTTTAATGTGGCAAATAATGGCATATGACACTGGTGTTAAATCAGCACTTGCACAGTTCAGTTTGATGATAATATAGCTGGCTAAGGGTAGGATCATTACTGGCCTTGAAGGTAAGGCTATGTCACTACTGTAGGAAACTCTTTTGGCAGGCACATTAACATTAGAAGATTATATCAGAACAAGTCTACAGTTACATTTACTATGATGATTTTGGAAAATATAAAAAAAAAAAAACTCCACAAAACCCTTTAAATGCAGAATATCTGTCTCAGTGTCACCATACACACCACCTCATGCAACCACGTGGAGAAACCCAAGACTTGTCAGACCTGTTGTGCCCAATTACAGTTTCTAAGCTATGATTGGACAATCACTGTTCAACAGGGGGATTTTGCCAACCGCCAATTGAAACCTAACTGATTGCAGGCATTTTGCAGTGCATGATAAGCTGCAGTGACTTGTCGCCTGATTTAAGGGCCCTACCCTTATTCTCAAGAAAGAGCTTCCCACTCATTCTAGTTTGCTGTGAATGAGTGGAAGGACATTTGAGGGAAGGAAACTGTAATAGACTATTGATACCATCCCACCACCACTATCACCACAACTGCACAAATCAATCTTACAGTCAGCCAGATTACAGTTCAGCAGTTATTTATCAATACTCCAGTAGATCTGGGCTCCGTCAGTCCATATGCTTGTCAAACCCAGAGTTCCTGCTCTGAAGATTTTCTCTTGATTGTCCCATCAGTCACAGCAGGGCTGCAGAATGGTTGAAGTGATTGATTAGTCGAACAGTAATTGTTCATGTTGATCGATCGGCATAATGGTGGCGCTATCACTGTGGCAAAGTGGAGATGCATGGAAGTGATTGGTTTCCAAATTTGTTCTCAGAAGGCTGCGTTAAAACTTTCTGTAAGAGATGAAGGTCATCCCAAATGCTGATGTTTTATATTCAGCAAGTTATGAATCACCATAGTTGACCCTAACAGCTGTTTCAGTCTTGCTTTTGAATATCTCAAGGTAAATGCAAGCAGATCAGTTGCTGGAAACAAAGAACTTCTGAAGAACATGTGAAAAAGATACAAACAACACTTGGATGAAGTCCTAACTTTAAAATCTCAGAGGAACTGCTTTTATCAAATCTTAGGAAATACACGAAGATTTGAAGCCTAATGGGCATCGGCATCAGTATTATGAATTTTCCACACTTTTTTTTTTTTACATTTCCTTGCTGCCATTCAGTCACTCAAGCTGTATTCTTTTCTCCAGTTCACCTTAGTGGCTTTTTTATGTAAATGACATTGTCAAGGCCATCACAAATACAACACCATATTTGACTGAAGTAAAATGGTCACGACTTCTTCTTTTTAAGAGGAATGTAACAGTTACTTTGATTTCAGCAGTAATCCTGCTCTTAAAAGTTAGCATGGATGGTGCAACAGTAGACTGAATGTCACTCTCCAGAAGTTATGAGCTATTAAAATCCCTCATCTTTTCAGTAAATATAAGTCCTTTTGTATCCCCTATTGGACCTATTCAGGTTTAACGTTGAGCAACAAAACTCAAAAGTTATTTATTATTTAGGAGCACAACTCAAGATTTATCATTAAATGCTTATTCTAGCACTCGCAATAGTTGTGTTTTATGCACTACTTTTTACTTGCAAAATAGAAGAGACTATGTCATAATTTTGTCAGACTCTGAGCTGCTACAATCTCTTGAACCCAGCCCAAGTCAACACACACAATGAAGAAAATAAGATGGGTAAGGCCCAGGGTATACGTCCACATGCACAGGGTTCAGTATGTGCATACCCCTCCTCGGCCCAAAATCTATGCCCAATAGTGCGCATGTTTTGTAATAGAGCATATGTGCAGAAAACATAGATACAACCTGCTGCATATGTGTGGAATGGAGTACTCTAAGCACTCCCAAAGACTAGAAAAGTGGTATAATGGCACCAACTACATATCTGTGGTGTCCGCAGCAGTGACGTGCGGTGAGGTTCATGGCTGGTGAGGCACTGACTTCATCAGAATCTGATTTACAAATATATGCACTCTACAGAGTAGCTCATTTGCCATTTGATTGGCAGCAGTTTACGGGTTATGTTTCATATCTGCATTCTTTACACATATAAGCTGTAGCCCACAAAACACATTTCTTTTCTTTTCTTTTTTTTTTTTTACTTCGGTCTTACCTTTACCTTTAAATTAAGTCCATGCGCCGCTCCTTCTGGACAAAAATATCCATTACTTTTTTGTAAAAGTCTCCTTATCTTCTTTCGCTGCACTTGATTTGCTAACTGTATATCTTACCTAGTCTAGCTTGCTGTCACTTACTCTGCAGCTGCGGAATCACAAGAAGCATGTCTGGGATCAGAGCGCCCCCTGCCATGAGGCCAGAGAACTGCCTGCCTCACCTAGAACCTCTTCTCAGCCTTTTATGATTGCTTAGCACACGAAACACGTTACACACATACAGTTGGTAAAAAAAACAAACAAAAAAAAACACTGTACATTATTATATACATAAGCTAAACTATGAAAATCAGTTCATATATTAAATGTGTTTGAACCACGTTATTGGCGTCATACAGACAGCAGGACGCTGTCAGTGAACGGCAGACAGCGCAGTGAGGGATTGCGCAATCCAAGGTGAGGCTCAGTTCGCCGCTGCCTCACTGGCTTCTCTTCCAAGCATTTGAATGGGAAATTGTGAAAATTCAGCGATTTTGAATTTAAAAATCATCAAAACTGACGAGGCTAAATAAAAAAATAAATACTTTATAGTAAAAATCACTGGATAAATATAGCCATTTAAATTATTTTATCATTATATATTTTTTCTTACCGGGATGTCAGGTGAGGCTCCGCCTCACCTGCCTCCCCTGACCGCACGTCACTGGTCCACAGCTGTCTGTATGCGCATCCACCAGAGAGAATAATCAAGTCATAGAAAAGTAGACTTTGCCTGGACTGGAAGTAGTGAACATATTTGAAATGGAAAATGGCAACAGAGTTGTCAGTACAAATATTGCAATGACAGTAGCTCATTGCATCTGTGTCTGCATCTGTATTTTGTTGGTACCAGGGGGAGCAAATGAAGCTATTGGAACGTCTACGAGCAACATGTCCAGCACTAGCTGTCATTTTTATCCTGTCCACTCTGCGCCTTTCATCTTTTGCAGATTACACCATTTGTATTGTCATATCCATGACAACAGCTTCTGCTTTACTCCCATCATATCTGTCACTCAAATCCGTGTCTCTCCTCGAGATACTGTCCCTCATCTGCATGTCTGTTGTTTGAGGTTTACCATCTCAGCGTAGTCTGTCTCTCCTCTGTCATATCCGTCACTCAAACCTAGTCTCCTCCCTAGCCTCTGTTCCTCATCTGTCATGTCTTTTGCGTAGTGTCTATTCTCCACGCCACGTTCTAAACAACCATTTTCTCCTATCATGTCATCTCTCCAGGGTCTGTTCTCTTTTTCTAGGCCTTCTGTGCCTCCACCGCTATATCCGTCTCATTCGCATCTCTAACCCCATTCTCCCCTCTAGGCCGACGTCCTGCCACGCCCCCATTATGTCCGTTACACCAAACAACTCTCGCCTCCAGGTCTATCATCTGCCTTTGAACTGTCATACCTGTTACTTTTTCCCCTCTCTCCCCTCTGCCTCTTTCTGCTGTGTGGTGCTCAGCCTCTCAGATGGATATGCAATTGTGAGTCAGAGCGGGCGCTGTGCTGAATATTAAATCTGAAGCCCAGACAGACGTTTCTTCCTCGACAG